CAAATTCTCCCCATTGGCTTAGAGCCATTATGTTATCCTTCATTTATCTGTATTAACCTGTACTTGTCGTTTAATAACTTTAATGTTCTAAATCCTTCTGTCTCTAATTATATTGGTTATTCAATGTAAATATATATCAACTGTGAATTTGTGAATTTATAGGACTTTCACCCCTGTCCCTACACTTAAAGATATGTCATCAACTTTCTTTATTAACTTTCTGCTGTCAGAAGCATAAAGCATTTGACTCAGCCCTGAATTCTTCTAACTCCTGCAACATATATTTTCCAAGTTTGTAAATCTGCTTGCTCTGAACAGATAGCATTTAATGCTTTCTAGCTTTTTTTCCAGAAACTGCTGTTGATGATTTATCTCTCTTAGTCTCCTAAAATATAAACTTTTAACCTGTCCAAAACAGAGTGGATTTTGGCAAAAAAGTGTCCTGGCCTTGAATATATTTATTGAGTTTCTGCCTGTGTCGGTGTAGTTCTTCTCCAAAAACCTTTCATAAGCTTTCACTACATCTTCAGAGCATGTGATGTCTCTGTGGTAGACAGCACAGGATTAAGCTCCCCAAATGGTGTTAGTCACTAGACAAGGCTGAGGATGGAATGTGGAAGTGTTCTCCGTTCCTATTCTGATTCCTTCTCTCACAACACATGGTGATTTTTTGAGTTTATTTCATGATTCTGTAGAGCAGCCATCTTGATTTTTAACATGATCTTCTGCTTTTCCCAAGTTAGATTGGTTTGTCTTTTCCCACCTCTAATTACATAGCTCAGATGCATGCTTTGTATGTATGTTGAGATTGAGCAAATTATACTTCCAGGCATCCTGTCCATGATTTGATTGTTTTTAAGCTTTATTGACATTTTAAAGCATATCAAGATATCTGATGCCTCCTAGGAAATTTATTGATATATTTACATATATGCATACACAAACAGGGTACACTTTGAGAGGAAAAGTGCTGTATAAACCATCTTGTATTATTTTATTTTTCATATGAAAAGAAAAATGGAGACTCTGTCTTCAAAACTGATAAAAATGCATGTATGTTTATTCAGAAGTCTGGAGGGGCTCATGCCATATCTTTCCTGTCTCTTGAGTAAATATATTAGTGATTCTTAAGGGAAAAAGGTATTATTGACTTGAGTGATTAGAAAAAGCTCTTTTAGAATCAAGTTTAGCTGATAAATTCAATAAAATTTTAAATGGCTGGAGGCAAAAAGAGGCAAGGAAAAGCCAGCCAAGCTGAACTTATTTTGCATCCTTGATATCTTTGTCAGTATAAGAAATCAAGCTTTGTGGAATATGTATTAAATAATTATTATTTGCATGTATAAATAAATACTGCATATAAGTTAAAAGCATGTTCCAAAGTAAGGGCATATACAAGAGTGTAAAGCATAGCTAGAAGTGATCATTGAGCTAATCTCAATATAAAAGTTGAAAACTGTGTCCATTTTCAGTTGGGGAAAACATCTTCATATTTCTAATTAGTTTCAGTGTTTTAGGATAAGAAGTTATTTATTTTTTTGCATGACACAGTCTCACAGAACCAGCCAGTATTTGTGTTGGACCCACAGCATAGCAGTGTTAAAGTGTTCAGCAGTGAAGAGACTGCTTTCCCATACCTTTTTCAAACATCTTTAAGGCAGAATACATTTAGAGCTGTGAATTTTCTCATTCACCCTTTAAGGCTGATGCTTCTTAATGTTATGTACTTTTTCAGAAATTTTTTCTGTTGATCACAGCATTCTTTAAGAGTGAGATAATTACTATATTGAATATTCCTGCCCTCTGTCAGTACATAGATAATGATGTGAATGTATTCACCCTTCTGCTTCTCATAGTTTAGCTGTAATTTTAGAACATAATTTTATGCATCTCTGGGAATTTTGGTTAGAAGAGGCTGCACTATGCAGTCTTTTGTAGGACTTGGGACTGCACTATGCTAAACACTATCTGAACATATCAGCTGACAGGATAGGATAATTCCCAAATAAATTACATTTTTAAGATTCTGTGGAAATAACACCATTACTGCCAACATGCAACACCCTTCAGTTTGCATTTTGGTCTCAGTTCCTGCATCTGCACCACAGTGCATCTTAGAAACCTGACCTTTTCACCTAACTTCAGTAGCGTCATCAATAGTTTGCATTGTACATAGTCTGGAAAGATCTATACAGCACTGTTGCACTAAAAACATGAATCTGCCACGTAGATGAAGGTTTTAACTGGCAAGAAAACATCAGACTTGTGAGGAAGGTTGCAAAATGATAGCAGGCTTGTAATTAGCTATACTCAGCTAATGTTACTTTTTTTGCCAGTCCCAGGCACCCTCAGTTGCAAACCAAGTGGGGAGACATGTATTCCTTCCATTTATGTCTGTATTTTCTTTCTTTATTAATATTTTTGTTTGACTGTCTTGACCTTCTAGCTGAAAATCAAGTTTCACTGTCATCAGTGAATTTGAGTAGAGCAAGGATATGAGGAGGATCTGTGGATAAAGGTGTCAATTTATGTTTGCAAACTTATTGTAAGATTATGTTACCTCCGTTATGTCTCTTTGTTCAACTTATGTTGTTATTTTAGCCCAAAAAAGGCCAAAGATCATCAACTAAAGTGCATGTAGAGTAAAGCTTCTCCTGTAAAATTGATGATCCGTCCAATTATTTATCTATAGAGGCTGCTGGGAAGAAATGCAACTATCTCAGTTCTCAGACCCCTCTGCTAGGTTGAACTTCATGGCTGAAGGTTTAATCCCTAAGTGTCATATCAACAATTCATTCTGTGATATTCTGGCTGACATGCTCTCCTTCCTTATTTATTGATGTCTTCAGTCATCGACAATGAGAGGAAAATACACTATTCGTCAAAGTGATGGTGTTTTACCCTCACTTACAGTTGATGCTGCTGTCACATTGATGGTTGGAAAATAAATTCAATCATTATAAAAAGCTAAGAGTGTGAACTTGCCAGTGACAGCAAGAAGATGAAAAAAAACCTCCACGGTAACTTGCTTAAAATTGGTGTAATAATAATAGACCTGTTTCCTATAAAGATACTTTTGAGCTTTGTTTGTGAAATACCCAACCATTTTAGCAATTTACTTTATAGTTATTCCTTTGAAGGAAAATCTGCTCCTCGCACTCCCTTATATCAGTGCAAACATTTGTATAATTTTTAGCAATAAATACTTGTTATCATTTCACCTCATGCTACTTGGTTAGTAATTTGTCAAATTTTTTTCCCCTTCTCTATTTTTAAGGCATTTTGCTTTGCTTTTTTCTCCCCTAGGTTACATTGAATGCATGTATCTGTTTGTGTATTAGAGGATTTTGAGTGCTTTGATGAGGAATAAGCTCAGTATAGTTTCATTTGAGATGCAAACATAGGCAAAGCTCTCTTGAATGTCTTAGGCTACCATATGTACAGCTGTACTGCACCTTACAGCTTTTTTAACTCCATAACCACATCTTACCACATTTCACCTTTGGGAGGCATTGTATATACAGCTAAAAGTAAAGAGCAGCAAGCCAAGAGGGACAAGATAGCATAATGAGGATGTCAATTTGTGGTCAGATTTCTGAGGAAATATTTATCTTACTTGTACTGTACTTGGCAACAGACAGAGAATTATATATATATAATTAATTTCCTTAGACTTTATCTGGCAGAGTGTGTACCTTGTGTTAAATGAATTTTGAAAAAAATTGCTTGTCTCAAACTTTTAAGGTCTGAGGAGATTCTACTTTGTTTCCTGAAAATGGACTGTATCTATTTAAAAAAAAAAAGGGGTCATGTTTACTAACATATTGTTGAAGTTTTAATGACTAATTTTCTTGTGGTTCCTCAAATAATGATATTTTTAGATCTTATTATTCATCCACCAGATATTATTCATCCACCAGAACAAAAGGAAGGCAAGATTTTTGTAGTTTATGGGGGAAATTCATGTTTTTCTAGTTTCCTTGTGTTTTGGTGTGTCTCTCTGGCAGGCCTAGATGAAGGTTCACAGAAGTGCTGGTTGTCTCACACGTGCTCTGTGTCCTGAGGCAGGCTACAGCTGCTTCAGCTCCTCATGCCGATCCCCCCTTCTGCGAAAGGGGAAGAGTTTAACTTATTTTTCTCCTTCAGGGAAATACAGGGAGGGTTTCTTAATGTTTCTATAGAGCTTTGAAGATTAAAATCTCTTCTCTATACTTGCTAATATTTCAGTGTCAGAGGAGCATTTAACTGAAGCTGTTTGAAGAGTAAAGTCTTGGCATCTTGGGTTGTCTTTATACCATATCTTGAGGCCTCTACAATATAATTTTGCAATCGTTGGTTCAGTGTAAGCTGTGGAAGGAAACAAACCCTGTGTAAACAAACGGTGATGACAATAGATGAATGTATACATCTGCTATTAAAAACAAAAGGAGATCCATTACAGCCTATCTCTGAGCTTGCCAGAAAAGTCTGTGCTGGAGCAAAACAAACACCTGTAGCTGGGTTTAGCCTGAAATAACTTTTATTTAAGCATCCGTGGTAAATACTGAGAGGCACAGTGAGTGTTTTTCTTCTAAAATGACTTCGCAATGTCTTTAGAAAGACAAGGTTGGATGATATTTTAGCAAAGGCTTCCAGACTTCTTCATGAGACAAGGAGTGGGCTTAAGGAGTATGCAGGAAGTATTGACTCTCAGCACTTGGAGCAAGTTAGAAAGTCTGCTTGCCTTTTTTTCACACATCAAAGGTCAGAACCAATTCCCAGGGTGTAGACATCCTCAAGAGATTGCAGAGGGACAGATTCTGGTTTGGCTGTTACTTCTTCAGTTTTATGATGCTCGAAAAACTTAACATTTAGTATAATGACATCTTCCTCTTTGCAGTTAGGAGGAATGATTGGGCTACCACCTGTATTAAATGTTGTCGTTACAGTCTGACCTGGCATTTTGCTGCCTTACAGTCAGAAGCTGTATTTTTCATGGTTTACATTTTTATTTTTTAATGCAGAGCAGATCGGACAGGAGATGCTGGAAAACCTTAGCCATGACAGAGAGAAGATCCAGCGTGCTCGGGAAAGGGTAAGTCTGATAATAAGTAAATGCTGCTCTTATATTTTATTGCTCTTATAATCCAGCATATTTACCAGTTTTATATAAATCAGCTGCTATTGTAAGGCATAATCACCATCTGCAGCGAAGCACTTTAAAGGTATCTAATATGGGCCCAATCCTGCAAAGCCTCTCTTGCAGAGAGTCACCAAATCCACTCTTGGAAGCAAGCTTTCCATCACTAACATCATAGTTAGGTCAGTTTTCTGTCCTTTGAAGGATTTTTTATGGGGTCCATTGCAATGGCTTCTTGGACTTTGATACGAAACAAAGTTCAATGTCATGACTGAGCTTCTCATAGTTGATCCACTTTCCTCTTTGTAGCTGCAGATGCTAGTAATTGCCTCCTTAGGCAATTTTGTGGTTTCTTAGATCACTGTTCTCAAAAAGGTGATGGTTTCTTACTCTGATGCTGTGTCATTGCAATCAAGATAGCATATACCTATCTCGTTTTTGGCTTGTGTTGCCTCCATAGGGATCAACTCTATAGACTTAAATGAAGACCATCTCATCCAACACATACAGCTTCTCTGAACTTCAGTCTAAGAAATTTGCCTCTCTAGTTCTGTTTTTGCTCACAGAAACAGGATTGACTGCACCTATGATTTTGGGGGGGAGGGGGTTGTATGGCTTTTGATGAGATACTTTCCTGAGTGTCCAGTTTTGCCAAAGCTAAGTCCATCTACAGGCCTCTAGCTGACCAATGCCACTTAAGAAAACTCCTTCATCTGTCCCAGGCAGTTTCTTTACCTGGGTAGCTTCAATCGGTAAAACCTTGTATGACAGCTTTAATGAGGGATTTTCTGTCGGCTGTTCCAGTCCTGGGCACTAGCTACTTTAAAACATTAAGTGTAACTAAATTATTACATGTAACTAAGGATTGTGAGCATTTACCAAGTGTTGCTCAGGCAACTTTGTGTCTTATTTCACCTCCACTCCTGAGATCCCTAGGGACTGCTCAGTCTGAGATGCTTCTCTGTTTCTAGCTGGCAGTGGAGAATAACTTGTATCCATTTCTACTGATCCTAAAAATCCTTGGGAAAGAGAAAGAAGGAGTGTAGTTCTGATGGTTCTGTGTACACATAGTTCCTAGCGTAACTCTTCCATTTCTGCGCTTTCCACCTAAGAGCAAATTTCTTTCCTTTACCTTTAAGCTGCAAGGAGCAAGACTAAAAATAAGTGTATTCTAGGAAAGTGTATCCCACCATAAAGCAGTGAAAAACCTCTTGTCATAAATGGGAGATCTCAAATTCCAAGTTTTTATCATCACGGAATCGCAGAATGTTAGGGGTTGGAAGGGACCTCCAGAGATCATCGAGTCCAACCCCCCTGCCAGAGCAGGACCATCTAGTCTAGGGCAGGTCACACAGGAACCCAGCCAGACGGGTCTTAAAAGCCTCCAAAGTAGGAGTCTCCACAACCTCCCTGGGGAGTGCCCTGGAACCCTTACAGTAAAGTTCTTCCTCATGTTGAGGTGGAACTTCCTGTGCTCCTGCTTGTAATATACCACTTAAATGTTTTGTTTAGGGAATTCAGAAAAGTTCTCCAGTGGAGCCACACAAGTGTCTCAGCTGTCTATATACTCAGATGTACAGTCAAGGATGATCTTGCATAACTTGGCAAGTTTTCAATTTTCTGGGGATTTTTACAAGACCAGGGCAGAGGGCACACTGTCAAGGCATGATAGCTTTACATTGGATATATTGCATTATTATCATATTAACAAGGGAACAAACGTGTCTTCTGAAAGTCAAATATCAACTTGAGTTGTGATGGTCAGTTGTTAGCAATTCAACGTTGTGAAAATTAGGAAGATTTTCTTATGAGCAAAATTTAAATGATTTAGAGTCTCTATAGTTTGGTTAAATTTACATATACAAGTTTGCCTGTCTGTAGAGTAAAACTTCATTTCTCTTAAACTAAAGAGGGTAGGTAAAAGCTCAGCTGCAGGTCAGAAAGGTTAAATGGACTGTACGGTACTCTAAAAGATGCAACATTTTTTAAGAAACCTTATGTGTCTAAGAGAGACAAGATATCAATATCAGCATCTTGTTCATCTTTCCTTTCTCATTATTATTCTTAATATTAATGTTTAAAAGCTTTTATAAACACTATGTGGATTTGTCATTGCTAACATCAAAGTGTATTTCAAAATGCTCTCACTGCAGCAGTTCTGTGAAGCAAAGAGGTGCCATCATATGCCATTTAACAGGTTTACAGGCCACTCGTTCTTTGGCTTCTGCAGTGCACTGGTATTGGTAAAGAAATGATGGAAGAACTACAATCAGATATTTCAGTTTTAAATAAAAACAAACTTACAGTTTGAAACTCTTCATGCTGTTTTTTCTACCAGTACAGGAAGAAAAGATATTTTTTTAGTGTTCTTTTGGGAGATGGCTAGAGATCTTCCAACAATGTGTGTACGTGTTTGTTTCTTTTTTAACATTTCTTTTGCTTATTTTGTGGGTTTTTTATTACCATAAAAATATGAGGTCGTCTTGCTTAGAGGAGTTTGTCAAACCTCTAAGATTCAGCTTTCTCTTCCTAACTATCAGTACTGATTCTAGCTGTCAGGTAGAAACCTGCAGCAAGAGAGGAAAGTTAGGATCAAACATATAATGGTAAAAAGGAGAGCTACTTTCCTGTGAAAAGGGAGGAGAAGCCCCAAGTGTTAAATGCATCTTTATGAATAATAAAAGACCAATGTAAAGCATACATTTGTACTTCAGATTCCCTTCTAGCATAGATAGGAACTTGGCTTTTTAATGAGCCTTTTAAAAATTATTGTGACGTTTTTTCTTCTGTTACTTGTGTCAAACTGGGCTAAACTGCTTTTCTGGAGCTTGAATTGTCTAGATGAATCAGGAAAAAATGAGGGAATGGCCTCCCTGGAATATAATGCTCATCTTTGTTCCATCATAGCACATAATTACAGAGATCTGAGAGTCCGTGCAAGCCTTCCTCCTGAATATGATATTGCTAAGAGCAAGTCTTGGTTGGTGTTACCCAGTCCCAGCTTCTACTTGGCGTTTTCTTAATACCTTTTAGAAGAACAAGGAGGAAATTTATACAAAAAGATTATATGTCATTGATTGCAGCTACTGATTTCAGTAATAAACATTAAATCCAGTAGCAAATATTTACAGTATTTGGCTCCAGAATATAAACTGGTTTTTTTAATATTGTGGCTATGAATATATTCAAGATATAATAGTGGTTTGTTATGGTGAAGGTGATTTGTTATTGGAAGACTGCCACTTTTCTTGACAGTTTTGATGGATTTATTACACAGGATGCATTTTGTCTTCTACAACAGTGTCTTTAGTAAGAAGTCAATGAGTCAGGTAATCCTTTCAGTCTGATTTGAAAATGAGGAGGTAAATAGTCAGCTTTCATAAGGTGAAGAATGTTTTTATGTTTGTACACCCAGCTGTTTTTCAGGGCATGTTAGAAATGGCAGTCCCTGCTATTTCATAGCTAACAATCGTTACATTAGCGTTTAGAGTAGATTTTGATGTCCCACTGGCTCCAAGATCTCTAAAAGGGTCAAAGATGTTTCTCCTTCAGCTATCCGTAGCAAAAGAGACAATAGGATTGTAACTGTTCTTCCTATACCCTTCATTTCTAGACATGATTTTGTGAGGGACTAATGAAAGCAAAAAAAGAAGGACGGTTTTAATCCTTTTTAAAGAACAATAGAAATAATTTTTCCTCCTTTTTAATACAAACTTTATGTGCTTCATAGTTTTTCATCTCCACAATTTCTTTCTTTATTTAGTTGTTGCTTTTACCTGTTTTTCAAGATTTTTGAGAGCTGTAGCACAAGTCAGCTAATTAGATTTACCTGCAAACGTAGGTTTCCTGTGTCCTAATAAATTACTAAAAGTACTACTTTCAATGAACAAGTGGTCCTTACATGTAAAAATATATATTCTACAGCTGTACTTTATGTACATACTACATACTGTTCATAAAGTATTTGGGCATCCATCCCAGTGGTGGCTACTGTGAGGTCAGTACAAGTTTTTGCATTTAAGGGACAGTATAGACATATTTCTTTTATGCAGAATAGGTAAAAGGACACTGTTCTCTATTATTGCTTTTTTCTTTAAACTACTGTCTTTGAAAAACATTGAAAGAAAGGTGTGTTTGTTTTTCATAAAACATCAGGAACACAGCACATGGCTTCATCCCTGGATGCCCTCACTAATGTGCATAACCAATAAACATACACACAGCAGTGGGAATTACGGATATCAATTTATATAGCTTTTACCTGCAACCATTTCTTTGTAAAGCATTTGCTTTTTATCCTGGTTCATCTTTGTTGCCTCAAAGTCTCATCTTCTGTGGGTTTCATCTTTACATAGGTGAAAACCAAACAAAACATTTTTAAATTTCAGAGCTTCAGTGGCTTTCTTACATGAGAGTTTGTTGTGGGCTAAACTTGATGTCGGTGGACTCAAATGGCAATAGAAATTTCTGTCGGAATATGTGTGCCTTTTACCTTCAGTGTGACTCTTCTTTCCCCAGCTTAGAGAAACAGATGCAAACCTGGGGAAGAGTTCCAGGATTTTGACGGGAATGTTGCGAAGGTAAGGCCAAGGTAGGGACACTTCTGCTCTTTCTTTTTTTTCTCTCTCCCTGTGTGCCTTTATTTTTAGTTTTAATTCAACCTCAGCATTTTGCTGACGTACCTGACTTTTTTTACACAGGCTGCTATGTAGAATGTCTTCAAATGAATGCTGGTATGAAGCAGGCATGGTTAGCTAGAAGGCTTTATCACAGCTGTGGAAAGAGTAGCCTGAGGGATTACCCCTTGCTCAATCATTTCTCATCTGTGTTTCTTTGTATTTGGGTTTTTTTTCGTATGTGTTCTAAAATTAAGCTGCTTTTTATGATGGTTTCCTGTGTTCCTTATTCTTGAGAAATTTCAGTGTTATCAGGGCTTTTTACCTGTTAGATTCTATGTGAGAAAGTTTGTAAATGTTTTGGGGCAGCATAAATTTACATGCAGAGAAACAGTTAGGATGATAATTCCGTCAGAATAGATGGGGCAGATACACTGTCAAACCTTGTGGGTTTAGCATCATTTTACCACATTTTCAATGTTATGAAAGTTGCCCCTGGGATAAAATTGAGGTGATATGGAAAGGAAAAATTTACAACATCCTAAAAAAACTGTGTGGGACTGGCAGGAGGGAGTTGTCCAGTGATTGCTACCCACCTTAAATTTACACTAGTGCCTTCCCGAACAAATTTTTTTAATTAGTAGCAGTTCTGGGTATGTGTTCTTTACCCAGTGAAACAGCACCTGAGCTTCTCTGTGAAATCTTTATTTCTGTATATATTCAGCTTCCTGAAGAGGAAAAGCATTCCTCTAGTAGATGGTGTCGGGTGCTATGAAAACACAGTTTTAAAGAAGTTTAGAGCATCCTCAGAAGTTTTCAGTATGAAATTACCCTTGCCATAGGCTTTTATGTTGTGTATTTGCTTAATGCAATTTGCTTATTTGAAAAAAAAAGAAAAAAGAAGAGAAAGTTTTAGCAGAGTTTTTGATTTGTCCCTTGGTTTGGAGAATATCAAAACCAGAATTTAATAAGTTGTTCTTTAGTCTCCTCAGAAAAATCTCTTTGTTACTTCCTTGTATACCCAGCTGACAAAGTTTAAAATGACTGATCCTCATGCCTTCATTCCACAGATTTCTTACAATTCCAACTGCAAACTGTAACATATAAAATTCTCTGATTAAGAGTAATATGTAAATGACACAAGCTAAATTCAAAATCCATGGAGAAAGGAAATGGCAATTGAAAGGGATGGTTCAGTGCCTGTAGACAATCAAAATAAACTATAAAAAAAATGAACCAGAGAAAAGACACAACCAAACCAAAGTCTCCCCAGGAAGGGCTCTGCGACATGAGCTGTAACGAATATTCTGCATATGTCTCCATTTTGTCAAATCTCATTAAAGGGGTTTCTTGCTTTATGTCAATTGAGCTGTCCAAAAATCATTCATCATTTTAGTGTAAAAAAAAAATCATGCAGTTATTTAAATAATATCATATTAATGTTAAAGTTCAGCTGTCATTTAATAGTATGGCTTAATCAGACATAGCATTTAGGAAAAATAGTTTTTTCGGGCTTTACTTGGCTTTCAGGTTGGCAGATTCAAATAAGGATTTATGGGTTTCTAAACCAATGTATTCTTTCCATGTTTATGCTTGAGGTACTTCAGCCTTTTCGCAGCACCCTGTAGTCTTTTATTTTCAATAAAATAAAGTATCTCCTCATATTGTGTTTGAATACATTTGCAAGTAATTTGGAGAAGCTGAAACAAAAACATATGCTGTAACCTTTGACTTTGTTTTGTGTTTGGGAATCACAGTTAGGAGTCTTAGTTTATAAGTGTTCCATAAGCCAAATGAAAAATATGATATTTCTGAAATATACTTGGGCTCTTCTTTTCAGACAAAAGGATTATGCAGTCGAACACCAAGCTGGCATGTTTCTGTTATGTCAGAGGGGCACTGGATTTCCTTTTGCTTTATCAAAAATGCTGAGCTGAGTCCCCCGCCTGGATGAAAGGCAGGTTAGGATTTAAGCTCAGCTTAGGTGAACGTGCCAAAACCAGTGCCTCAGCATAGATGCAGCTTGCAGTAGAAGATTCTCAGGATGTTGTTTAAAACCATGTAATAGATACACCTATGGTGAATTATGACTGGTTAAATTGCAGTTAATTTATGACTGTTGGGTAGAAGGGTCTAGCATTATCTCAGCCTCAACATCCCAATGTTGTTTAGTCACAAGAATAATCATAAAATACAGACCCCCAAGAAATCAGCAATAATTTGATAAATACAACTGTAAGAAAAATAATTAGGACAGATTGGCAGTTGTGTCCTAATTTCAGTATACTTCAATACATAGCACACGATGTTTCACTTAATTACTGGAACTAATAAAGGGACATGCTGAAGGACTGTTCTTCACATCATTATTATACAGAAAAGCTAATGTTAAACTGAACATTGCTAATTTAGTTGCTGCTCCCACAGTACGTATTTGTTGATATGCTTGAAGTCATGTCAGGCTAGCACCCTGTGCATCAAATTAATTCCTAACTATTTCTATTTTTTCCATGTGGGAAAGGTAAAGCAGCATCTCTTCAGAATCTGGCCAAATATATTAAGAGATTAGATATTTAGATAGCTATAGAGCTGAGTTGCTCCCTTTGTATGACCTAAATTCTCTGGCTATCTATTTGTGCATAAAATGTTCTGGAGATGGGAAATCAAAGCAGGAACAGGCTCACTATGGAAATCAGTGGTATAATAGGGACAGGTCTTCCTATCCCAGTTTGCTGCTTTAGCAGCTTAAAGTAGCCAGCCTTATGTATTGGAATTTGTTATTTCCCAGTATTTTGGGCTATTTGGGTAAGGAAATTTTTGTAATAACTGTTAGACGTATCATTACTAGGGTAATGTTGGCATGTTGATAATGTCAAAACATTAGTAATTTCCTTTTACATATATAATTTGACATCCAATAGGACAAACACACTAGCTCCAACTGATGGAAATAAAGCAAGAAGTGTTCAGCTCTCAGGTTATCTGACTTGCCAAGAGCTGTATGCTCAGTGTGACCACAATCAGAAACAGGGAATGCTTCTCTCTTTTTGCTAGTTTTAGTCAAATTTCTTCATTCTTCTTTCCATGAAAATTCTACTAGTCCTGCTTCCTGCTTTTCTTCTAATCAAACTTCCTTGTAGTTTTGAACTCCAAGATAGTCCAGACTTGATAGTTATTATCTCATAGAATCGTAGGATAGTTTAGGTTGGAAGGGACCTCATCTGGTCCAACCTCCTGCTCAGAGTAAGTGTAATTGGAGCAGGTTGCTCAGAGACTTCTCCAGTCAAGTTTCAAACACATCCAAGGTTGGAGATACCAATGCCTCTCTAAGAAATCTGTTCCAGTAGCAGTTGAAAAAAGAAATTTTTCCAGGTATCTAATTGAAACTTTCCAGCATCCATCTTGGGTCCATTGTCTGTGCTTCTAAGCAGAAGTGATCTAAAACATAAGTATTTTAGAACTGACCTTCAGAGTTTGGGCCTGGATAGCAGTCATTCCTAGCAGTCCTCAAACAACTTCAGCAGTTCTGAAGAGGCCCCTGTGGTCTTTAGGCTGAGATGACATCCCGTGTAGGGCAATGCTTTAAACAGGGCATGGGGTGCTCTGCCTTGACCCATTGACCTGGTTGGGTGACCATTCAGCAGTGGATGCACAAGAATTTTTTTTATATGCTTTCTCATGCTCCTGGAGATGTGAAAAATCCATTATGTCTGTTCTGCCTTCTCTCTTAACTATGAAGTTCACATTTCTATATGCAGAAGAATGGCAGCAGAGACAGTCATGTCTGTGCTATGGCAAACCAAAACAATGAGTTTTTCTGCTGCCTTTTTCCCGTTTCCCTACCAATCTCTGTTTCCATCCCCAAAGTCCATAACAGAAGATATTTTCTTTTGAGCTAAAGCCTGTTTCAATCATAGTAAGCCATGACTGCTGAGTCTCTACAGTTTTCTGGAGGAAGGTCTTATCACAGATACTGAGCAAAGTTTAACCTACAGTTCAATTTGCCTTGTTTTCAG